TGTTGAATTGTTAAAAAAGTTGGCCAGAAATTTTAATCAATTTGGAATTATTCTGAATCATCACATTCAAACTCAGAGATCAGAACAACCAAAACATTGGTCACCAAAAAATTCACAAGGTACTTTCAATTTAAAGGTGGTTGAACTCATAGGTTAAAGTCGTTTAACTTGGGATTACAAAGTTAGAGACACAAACTCAGCTTTATGAAATCTAGACTCTAGTATGATTACCAACTCTTTTTGGCAAGAAATACAAACCTCTCGAAGAATAATTGTCTAAGCAGACTTTGGAATGATTATTAAATATAAACAAGCAAGCTATAGACCTTAAGGACAAGACATTAAGAAAGAAATGTCCGTCATTAGACAAGATCAGCAAAAATGTAGGTTTAATTATACACACTGAGCAAAGTTCTAATGCACGTGCCGGATATAATTATAGCTGAACAACATGCAAGAAACAGGTCAAGGGTCAAGAGTGAAAAGATAGAGCAACATGAATAACCTCAGGCCAGGGCAAACAAGAAGAAGAAAAGGCTCCCTATTCAACAGCCAGAACTATCATGCGTGTACAAAACTTGGAAGATTTCAACCATCACTATAAAAGTTTGAAAAAGGGTAAATAAAAGAATTCTATGAAGGTTACTAAAGCTGAAAATCTCGGAGTTACATATCTCTTGATGAAATACCTGAAGATCCAGTTGTAAGCTCTACAACACTTCTGGAATCTGAACTCTGTTTGTCATCACCAGAAGTAGCACCTTTTGTGGCCCAATTACACCTAATCTGTCGACTCCCAAGCCACTTTCCTTTATGGTCAAAACAGAGGGGAAAAAAGAATATACAGCAGTTTCTAATAAACAAAACAACAATGCTCATGTCCCAAAAAGTGAGCATAGCGAAATGATCTTTATGGCACTTTTAACACCAAAGAGCATAACAATGATATCCAGTTAATGAAGTAAATTAGAACCTGATATGCATACTTTATTATACAAGTGTACCTTAAAAAAAATATCTCATATAACTTTTTAAATAGTTTCGAATGAACCAAGGAACCAAGCCTAGACTTCAGGATCTCTATCCAAGGTTCAATCTTACACTGTTTTCAATTCCTTAATAATCCCATTTCTCATTGCATTCCTTACATACATGGCTCAAGAAATGATATGGTTAACCAGGTCACTAAATAGATAAAAGAAATTACAACAGAAGATTTCCAAATGCAAGAGGGAGTAGGTATACCATTTAGGTCATTAATTGCACTTTGAGCATCCTGAAAACAGAATAAATAACTATCAACAGGAACACGACTATGTCCTGAAGAAAGCAAATACAAGACTTCCTATATTGGTAGAACATAAGGGTGGCATCCAGGAAGGGGGAAACATCTTATAGTAAACAAATGCCAAAACCTGCTCACTCCGAAATGCAACAAAACCATAGCCCCTTGAGCGTCCAGTTTTCTGGTCCCACATAACTCTTGCATCCCTGAAGTATTTAAGGTAAGTAAAGTTAGAGGTGCTAGATCAAGGTGATTTCAGTTGCATAGTATTAAGTTACGCTCTACCATATCTCAAATGTTTGAGCATAAGCCAAGCAGATGGACTCAAACAAAAAATTGGAGAGTGCACTTACGAACAACTGGGGTAAACAGAAAAGCATGCAAACAACGTAGCATCAGTAACCTCAGGGCTGAGATCACCAACAAATATATTAAAATGACCTGAAAAAATACACCATACTAAAAAATCAGCAGCCGCATACTACAAACTCATCCTCATTAGATACAGAATCAAAAGGAAAGAGAAACAATCTAAGCATACAACCAGATGTATCTTCCCTCTGACTACTTGCATATGCCCAATTAACTTTTACAGGTTGTCCAAACCTGTGCGAAAATGTATTGAAATAAATCTCAATCGGTTAATGTCAATAAAAATTCAAGAAATAATCTCACTTACAAGTTTCTTCCATTGAGAGAAATAATAGAAACTGCAGCTGATCTGCGGTCAAAGTAATCCACAAAACCATAGGAGGACTGCATAAACAGAAATAAAACTAAAGACATAAGGTCGGCACCTATTTATATAACAAAAAACAAGGGCATAGTTGTACAACCTATAGAACAAATCTAGTTCAAGTATCATATTCATATAACAAAAAAGCACGTTCAAAGAAGATCTTGATCTTTGAATAACACTGGCTTATTTGAAATAATTCCACCAACTAGTAACTGAAGGAAGAAATAGTCGTCAAAATCTAATAGTCATTAATCGATGGTACTTATTATCATAATGGAAAGAGATCATATAGCAACAAATGGCAGTCTATACGAAAACCACACCTTCTCCTTCCTAATGAGCTTACATCCTTCAATGGGTCCAATGCTTGAGAAAACTTCTTGAAGAAGAGGCTCGGTGACTTGGGGATGAATGTTTCCAACATACCTATATTTTTCTCATTAGTTCGGATTGATGAATTATTAAGAACAAATGACAGAAATGTAATAGCAGCCAGTGTACTTTAACTCATTCAAACAACATTTGTATCAGAATGGTATCAGTGTTAGCAAACGATGACCATGATAAGAAGTGTCAAAGGAAATCAATCAACACATGCCAAACTAATGAGGAACCCTATATCTAAGGCAAGGAAAGTACAAGTTAATCCAAATCAAGACTCCATCTTACTATGTAAAAGTTATGAACTAAATGAAAAAAATAGAAAAAGGAAAAGAAAATGTCTATTTAACACTCACACACTGCGGCATGTACTTGAATCAAAGCCAGGAGGCAGGTTTCCACTCAAGATAGGCTCTATCTGCAAAATAAAAAAGTAAAAAACAAGAAAAGGAAAAGGGGAGAACAGAGTTTTCCTAGAAAAAACATATCTACACTCCTCACCCAAATTCCAGCCACATGTGGAAAAAAGATTATATAAAAATAGAGTCACTAACCGACTCGAACACACTGGCAATGGGTAATGTTTTAAGTCCAGGGATGAAAAAGACTCCAGATGACTCATGTTCTACAGCATGAAATCTTCTAGGACTTGTCATGGAAGCCCATGTAAAGAAGAATAATATAATGATACATTAACGATCATATTTCTGAACGAATATCCAGGTGACATCTCTTACTTAGGTTACCAAAGACAACAGGTAAAGAAAATCTGGATGGCTCCTAAGACTCGCATAATGATTAGCAACAATTTTTGCAAGAAGAGAAGCGAGGAGGAGTATTTGAAAACTAGTTAACCGATTGTCATCAAATCATTGGCATGCAAGTTTTATCATGTATGTATGTTCGCACAAACGGGTCAATCAAAGTGAAACAGGAGGAAAAAGAAAAAGACTTGAGTCATAGAAAAACATGGAACAATACATGATTCTTAGATTAGGTAAAAGACCACGCACACTAGGCTAATGTCCATGCGCTTCTCTCATTCAAATGGGAATATAATCTCTGGACATCATGTATGATTTTTTAACCCCAATTTTAACTGTTGTCTTCAGGGCCACAAGAATTCTAAAACCCTAGCCCCGCTGTTTCCTTATTTTCCAACTACTCGGGAGCTTTGGTTTTCATACTATAAGCGTTGAACAACCTCAGTCGGAAGTCAAGAACAGCTTCTCAGTGGCCATATTTCTAAACATCAAAGCCTTGGCTTGGAAGTTGTGGTTGAAAAGAAACCATACACGTTTTTGCAGCACTACGAAGAACTCATTTGGAGTACTCTTTACTACAATACATCTTGTTATAGGTCCTCGTGAAAATGATTTCGTCGGCATGACAATAATTTATATATACCAATTAGAGGAATCCCTTTCTAAGATTTTTGTTCTATAACTTATTTGTAGTCTCCTCTCAAAGATTGATATCTTATCACCAGTAAAGCTTGTAGTTCTGTAATGAAATCTTTCCTGTTTCCATTTTTCAAAAAAAAAAAAAGAAAGAAAAAAGAAACCAATATATCATTTATTCATAAGAGGAACCCAAATGTGAAGAAAATAGCTGGGAGAGAGAGAGATCCAAGCTCGAATAATAAAAAAGTGATGAATAAAGGATCGATCAGAAGAAGATAGATATGTTGCAACCAATGTAACGATAAAAAAAAATGAAAATAGGAGAGAAGTAGAAACCTGAGGAGCAGCGAGGAGGGCGGGGTGGGGATACAGAGACTGCTGCATCATTGCCTGCTGTCTAAGCCTCTGATAATGCATCTTCCAGGAAGAGTGAGATTGAGATGGAGGAGACGAAGATCTTGAATTGGGGGTTCTAGAAGGAAGAAAACGAAAGAAAAAACAAAGAAAAACCAAACAAACAGGGAAAAAGAAAAGAAAGAAACGAAAGAAAAGAAAGAAAAGAAAGAAAGAAAAAGAAAAACCCTCGAAGGGAGGGAGCAGAGAGAAGAAAGACGAGCGCAATACAGAGTTTGAGACGAATAGATTTTGGAGTAAATGTAAGATTGGATCTGCTCGCACCCTTTTATATGAATTTGTTTTGTATATTTCAGCTTCGCCCATGGAAAATGTTGGACTTTATAGTTTTAATTCATATATAATTAATTAATTAATTAATTAATTGATATGTTTATTGTACCCATAGTGTGAATATAAAATAAAAATTAAGATGATTATTTATTTACCAGTTTTTTATATCTAAAAAAGAAAATGTGACATTTACATTAAAAAAATTATTTACCCATTTAAAAAAATTGAGATATAATTATTATTAATAATAATGAATGGCTTAGAGATTAAAGTAAGAAATGAAACAACAAAAATGGTGCGGCGTATGTATTGTTGGTGGGTGGAACTAAATTTAGTTGAAATTTTGAACACAACTATTCTTAGAAAGTGGTGTAATTATGGAGAAGGATCTATTTTGGAAGGCCAAGAGTGAGACGAAAAAAAAGGTTCGCCCAACACAGTCGCAGACAACCACGCAATTGTTCGAACAGCGGCTGGTTTGTATCCAGACGTGTTTTCCATTTTCCGTTCCGGCTCTGCAATGGCCGCTGTTCGAATCGTGTTCCTGTTCCTCCTCCTGGGTGGTCTCCCCCTGTCGTGTCCCCTGTCCGAGAAGGAGGCCCTCCTCAAGCTGAAGCAATCCTTCACCCATTCCGGATCCCTCAACTCATGGAACCCGGACTCAGTCCCCTGCTCGGCTCGATGGACTGGCATCATCTGCAACAAGGGCGTCATCACCGGCCTACATCTCTCCGGCCTCCAACTCTCCGGCACCATTGACGTGGAAGCTCTCATCCAGCTTCCCAGCCTGAGAACCATCAGCTTAATCGACAACAAATTCACCGGCCCCATTCCGGAGTTCAACAAAATCGGGGTACTCAAGGCGCTCCTCCTCACCCGGAACCAATTCTTCGGGGATATCCCCGACGATTTCTTTTCAACCCTCACCTCCCTCAAGAAGGTATATCTCTCCTCCAACAACTTCTCCGGGAACATTCCAAATTCTCTGGCCCAACTCTCCCATCTCCTCGAACTCCACCTCGACAGAAACCAATTCTCCGGCCCTGTCCCCCACCTCAAATACGCCTCCATTATAACCTCCCTCGATTTCTCCAACAACAACCTCCAGGGCCAAATACCCGACAGCCTCTCCAAATTCGACGCAAAGGCATTCGCCGGAAATGAAGGCCTCTGCGGGAACCCACTCCCCAAATCCTGCGAAGACAATGCTTCTCCTCCTGGGGAGTCCCAAGCCAACATCTCCAAGTTGGTAGTGGCTTCATTGATTGCCGTGGTTGTGTTTCTGATGGTGTTTATATTTCTGAGCGCGTCGAAGCGCAGAGAGGACGAGTTCAGCATGCTGGGGAGGGATCGGGAGGAGGTGGTGGAGGTGCACGTTCCTGGTTCAGCCCAGGATAGGCAGTCGATTAGGAGAGGAGGTGGGGACTCCAGGAGAGGCTCCAAACAGGGGAAGGCAGGGATGAGCGATCTTGTGGTGATCAACGACGAGAAGGGTACGTTTGGGTTGGCGGATTTGATGAAGGCGGCAGCGGAGGTGCTGGGGAATGGCGGGTTGGGGTCGGCGTACAAGGCGGTCATGGCGAACGGGCTGTCAGTGGTGGTGAAGAGAATGAGAGAAATGAACAAAATAGGGAAGGATGGGTTCGATGCGGAGATGAGGCGGCTGGGAAGACTGCGCCATCAGAACATACTAACGCCTTTGGCGTATCATTATAGGAGAGAGGAGAAGCTGGTGGTGTCAGAGTACGTTCCAAAGGGCAGCCTGTTGTACGTGTTGCACGGTAAGTGCGTGCGGTACGTAGTGTTAGCAAATAAATTAGATGGATAATCGGATCTGATTATATAATATAAATTAAATCAGGTGACCGTGGAGCCTGCCATGCTGACCTTGACTGGGAGACCCGGCTAATAATTGTGAAGGGGATTGCAAGTGGTCTGGGGTTCCTCCATTCGGAATTCGCGACCTACGATCTGCCGCATGGGAATCTGAAATCCAGCAACGTTCTTCTATGCGACGACTACGAGCCACTTCTGAGCGACTACGCGTTTCATCCGCTCATCAATCCCAGCAATGCGAGCCAGGCAATGTTCGCCTACAAAGCCCCCGAGTACGCCCAGAACCAGGAAGTTTCTCCCAAGTCTGATGTTTATTGCCTTGGAATTATCATTCTGGAAATAATGACCAGCAAGTTTCCTTCTCAATATCTAACCAATGGCAAGGGTGGCACCGATGTGGTGCAGTGGGTCTCCTCCGCAGTAGCCGAGAAGAGGGAGGCGGAACTCATCGACCCTGAGATTGCAAACGACGCCGCTGACGAACTGGATCGAATGGTCCAGCTACTCACAATCGGCGCGGATTGCACTCACGCCAGTCCTCAGCAACGGCCGGATATGAAGGAAGCCATTAGGAGAATAGAAGAGATTTGAAAACATCAGACACAGGAATATTCATTAATTTTAAGTTGCAAATACCATTACTTTTTTTTCCTTTTTCCCATTTTTTTTTAAAACCAAACCAATTAAAAAGGCACAAAATATAAAATAACAAAATAAAAAAACTAATGTGGCAGTAGATAATGGACAGTTTGATTGGAATTTGAGAGTGTAAGTAAATTAATTGAAGTAGGGAAGCGATGGAGGCGGGGATAGGTGGAGAGGTGTGTGAGCGTCTCAATCCCCCGCCGCCGCCGCAACACGCCACCAGATCCTATCTGCTCTGCATGGCTCCGCCTGTTACTGTGTAACATCATTACTTCACCTCTGTATTTTTTGCTTGTAAATGAATTTACAACAACATTGGGGGGGGGGGGGGGGGGGGGGGGG